TTCTTATCTTGGTTACTTGAAAATTGACTTCTGATAGAACTTAGTTTTCTTGAAAATTCTTATATAAGATTTTTCAGTTCAAAGTTTAACTTGTATTTCATTGAAAGTACTGGCTTATATAATTGTAATTTTTTGTATTTAAATTATTTTGAGATCTTTTTAATTTTTAGATTTAGTTCCAGAACTTGATCTGTTTTTACTATAATATCATATCTAAGATGGATTTATAAATTAAAGATAAGGATATAATTTAAATATCTCTTATTATTAAAAAAGTTTTTTTTAAATATAAGATTAAAAAAAACTATCTATAAAGGTTTTTTGCAATTTAAGTTACTTGATTCAAATGTTTTTTGAATTATGTCCCTATTAAAATAATAAATAAATAATTATGTTTTTTCAAAAAAAATATAATTGATCTATAAAATTTTATATATTAAATAATTTAAGGACCCATCTTTAGTCACATCTGAATTTCCATATTAGCTTTTTGAGGTTCTTTTAAAAGTTTAAAATAGTTTTGCAAAATTGCTATTATATTCTATATTGGATAACTTGTTTTATATTTATCAAATTTTGGACTTCTGTAACTAAGGTCTTTAATATTTTAAAATTCAGCTTTTTAATTTTTTTTTAAAAAATTTTTTGAATTAAATGAATTATAAACAGTTCTTATTAATGATATATAATATATTCAACAAATTTTTAATGAAACTTATATTAATTTATTTTTTTTTTTATTTTATTATTATTTTTTTTTATACCTAATCAGACCATATATTCAAGCTTATTTGCATGCAAACTGGTAAGTTCAGATTAACCCAAGATATAAATAGATAGATACATATAGTGTTTGACAGATCTATACTAAAGGTTAAACTTATTTCTTTATATGGCACACTCATTAACAGCCACTGGCCTCTAGATGTAATTAAGGAAAATGAAAAAATTTGCTTTATCTTGACCTATATTCCTTGTTGATCACAATTTCATCACCAGTCCTTTATCAAGACTATTTACCCCAACTTAACCTCTGTGGTCCTAAGGTATAAAATTTTTATTTTTTGAAAAAATAAAAGAGAAGGATAAAGGGAAAGAAGAAAAGTTTGCATTGATAAAATAAAATCTCATCAAAACCAATCACCAGCCTAATAAGAGTCTTCTTTGATCTTGAGGAGAAAAGAAATTGGTACAAGAGGGGAGGGAGAAGACTTCTAAACATTTTTTATCAAGAGAATATCTTGATGCCTTGCTCTTTTGCTTTATCCAATTACATCATTAGTTATAATATGGTATAATACAGGATACATGTGAATATGTATCTTGTTTATATTTCTTTTACTTGTTGATCAACCAATCCAAGATTTTAGCCAATCACCATTCAAAGTTTTCAGTGTAATAAAAAATTTAGGATCAAACTAAAGTAAACAAAATTCCCTAGAAAAATCAAGAAAAAATTGAATATACTTGAAAGTATTATCTATAGATATATATGAATGGTGGAGAAGGTTTATATATTTGAATAATAGACTCCTATCAACTTATCCACTTGCTTGACCAAGGAGTTTACTTACGATGGATCTAAGATTCCTATGTTACTTGGAAGTGTATTTATTGATAGACCCAACTAGCTTATCTATTCGTCTCAACCCAAGGTGTTTGCTTACAGTGAACTCAAGGTTCTTATAGATCTTGGGAAATATATTCACTAATAGTTTACTTTCTAAAGTTCCTAATTTAAGGAGAAAATAGTGAAGGGTGTTTTTCTACAAATTTCTTCTTTCCAGTAAAATGTTCTTACCATAGACCAAATGGATAACGTTTTGTTTATTTTGTTGCTAAAATATTCAAAGTTTTTCAAAGAAGAAAAAGTAAATAAGTGGAGAGCATGTACCTTTTAGGATTGGTTAGAATATCTGGATAATCTGTTCAATACTTTTCATCTGGTTCCTTAGAGAAAGTACTGTACTCCTTGTCACCACCTATGGTTTTCAATTTTTCTTGTAGGGATTATCTTCTTTTAAGCAAACACTGGATTGGAATAGCTTCAGGCTAGAGTGTTCTTTATACTATGGAGTTTGTTGTGCCAGGAGGGTTTGTGAGCTTTTATCGGAGTTAGACCAGAAGTCTTTCCTCATGCAACCTTTTGTGTTTCGACCTATTTTCAGCCCATGATCATTGGAAAGACCAGAGGTCCCATCTTTATACAGCCTAACTAAATTTGGTCAGAATCCGAATGTTTGAAGTATGACATTTGTAGGAAAACTGGTAAACCCACAAATGAAGGAATATTATGCATTTTGTTCCCTGTGGATATTGAACTAGGGACATGTATTTGGAGATCAGAGAGCACTACCCACTATATTATTGATCCACTGGTCTTAAATATTTAAAAATTATATAATAAATATTTTATGTTTTTTAAATATTTTTAAATTATTTTAACTTGAAAATTTTTACAAGTATTTATTTAAAGATTTATAAAAGCTTTTTAAAAATAAAGATTTAAAATAATTTTTTTTTAATTTTTTTGATAAGTTAATATACAGTATATTATTATATCAATTAATTTTAAATTGAAATTAAAATTTTATATATTATTATATTATTGTTAAAAATAAATTTAAATAGTTTTGATTTTATTATAATAAGAATATAAATAATTAATAAATATTAAGTATATATAAATTTTAATAAAAATTTAATTAAATATAATTTTTTTTATTTAATTGGATATATTAATATATTAATATAATATAATATTGAATTTAAATTAATAGATATTGTAAATATTATTATATAATAAAAATATTAGTTGCAATAGTTTTATTTAAATATTATATATATTTAAAAATATATTTGTAATATAAAAAAAAATAATGATAATAATAATATCTAAAAAATATCTAAAAAAAAAAACTGTTATATAAAGAATAAAAAGTATATTTTAAAAAAATTTTAAAAATCAACAATAAATAAATAAAATCTTTTGATTTTTATTTAGTTTTAAAAAAAATAATTATAAAAAAATAAAATAACAATAATAATAAAATAAATAAGAATATATAATAGAAATTATATATTATAGTCCAATTCAAATATATATAATCTGATAATATAAATTAATAAAATTTTTTTATTTTAAATATATTATTTTAACTAATTATTAATATATAATAAAGTTTTTATTCATTTTAATTAAAGTTTCTATATGATATTTCATATTATTAATCAATTTTTTAACAAGTTTATTATATAGGCTTTTCTATATTTTTATTAATTAATTTTTAAATTTCATAAATATACTGTTTTTTTTTTGTGATTTTTATTTTTATTAATTGTCAAATTTTTTCAATAGGATTTTAGTTAGATAACATTATAATCAAGCAAATTTTGATTTTTTTGATTTATTTATCAATTTTTAATAATATTTAAGATTATTATTTTCTTGTAAAATCCATTGTAAATTTTTTTTATCAAAAAATCTTAAGATCACTTTTAGATTATTGCTTAAATCTATTGTTGTTTTTTTATTTTTAATTCAAAAAAACTATTTAATTTTTAAAACAGTTATTTTTTTTAGTTATATTTGAATTTTATTTTTAATTCCTTAAAATATAAATGTAAAAAAATAGTTTTATATCATTGATTAATTGATAAATATATAATTATTATTGTAAAAGTTCAAGTATCCTTTAAATATAAATATAAATATAATATTGAGTAAATAAATACTATATATAATAAATTAGTAATTGCATTACTTCTTATATATATAAAATTTTAAGTTTTACAATTTATTTTTAATAAGATTTGGATTAAGCAATAACATATGATTTGTATTATATAAATATTAAATAAATAAATAATATTAAATATTTGATAATATTATTTTAAAATAAAATAATTTTATTTTATTAATAAATAAAAATATTAATTAACTATTTAAAAAAATAAAATTTATAAAAATAATTTTCAAACACAAACAAATATATATATATATATATATATATTATATTTATATCTTGTTAATTTAATTTAAAAATTATTATTTATAAAAGTTATTATTCATAAATATTATATTTCAAATCCTTTATTATTAAAATGTTATCATAAAATTTTAAATAATACTTTATTTCTTTAATTACAGTATAAAATGATAAATAAAAATTTTTAAAATTGTTTTATTGATATTTTTTAAAACCAGTTTTTAAAACGATTTTCTTAATATATTTGTTAACTTGATTTAGATAAAATTTTCAATATAATTAATAAAAAATCAAGTATAAAAGATAAAAAATTTTATCAAAAATTGAATTGATATTTATTGTTAAAATTAATTTAATATGTTTGTTTACTACATTATGATTACAGATCATATACTATCAAAAGAAGTTTTTAAATCTGATACAAGATAGATGAATGTACAGTATATAGAATAGATTATTATTTTAACTGAAAATTTTTATTTATTTGTTGTATTGTCTTTTTCTCTTTTATACTGTATAATATACTGTACAGTATATGTTTTACTAATATTCTTAAAACCTCATATACTGTATTTCAATCTTATCTTATGTTTTAAATAATATTTCAAATGATTCATGAATCCAATTATGTTATAATGGAATTGCGATTATTACCTTTGCCACTTAATCGTTTTTTTACCTTTTACATTATCGGATCAAAAAATAATTTGTATTTACAAATCAATATTTTTATTTTTGGAATTATCATTCAACTCTACTTTCTCAACAACCACAAGTCTAAGTTGAATTAAATTTTTTATGTGTTATAGAACTTAAATTTTCTTTATAATATAATATAATGTATATAAAAAACTTTATTTGAATTTAGTTGGTGAATGGTAAAAAAAAATTATAAATGTGATACGCAAGTTGCCCTAAATTTGTACAACAATAAAATAAAACATCGTTGTTATTATTAAGTTGTTTGCCTAAAATATGTGAAAAAAGAAATTTCTTGCGAGTCTGTGGTCTTTAGTCCGCGTTCTTTTCGTTTCTTCTTTGTTTTGGTAATATCTCGTTTGCTGCAGCAATTAACGCGTTCCACAATTTTACAGCGGTCAAGGGCTTTCGTATGTAAAAAGAAATACGAAGGCTTTCAATATTTAGGTTTAATGTTTGGTCCCATGAAATAAAACAAACAAACCAACCAATACCTGATTAATAAAATGGACTTCACTATCAAGTGATCCGATTTTTTCAGAAATTTCGACATGTCTCAGAAGTGGTGTGAGACAAATGATAAAGATATCATTCTCTTTGGCGATTTTGAAAATGGTGCAAATTTGCTCGTCGCGGATAACAGACGAATCAACAATAATTGTGTTAACTTCATCTAATCTTATGACATCGTGAAAAGCATAAATGTGGGATCGCATTTCGAATTTATTAAGAAAGGCGATGACTCTTTTTACAGTTCTGGATTCTTCATCGGATCGAATTACATCAACTTTCAAATGATCGACGCCGGCTTGAGCTTGTACTTTGACGTAACGTAATGGAAGAGGTTTGACGTTGCCGCTTTGATCACATGCCTCTATTCCAGATTTCATTGGAAGTTCAATTGTAAAAGTGATTGAGGAAGTCGATGTGTTCCAGTCCTTTAGGGTGAGTGTAATCGTGAAAGTGCCGCCAAGTGTATTGATCAATGTTTCGATGAACCTTTGACAGAATATGAAGTATCGTACATCAATAAGATCATTTGGACAAGACTTAAGTGCGAGAGTGAATGAATGCGATAAAAGGTTACTTGATCTCATAATTCTCTTGAGAAAAATCCTAAATTTAATGAAAACAGTTTAATTTGTGACATTGGAGTTGATATTGTTAAGTAGAAATATGACTGTACTATGTTTGTTAGGTTCCCAGCCGCTGTGATCTCAAATATCATGTGATAAACACATGATTCATCACTGCTTCCTGTTGAGGTTTCTCGGGATTTCACGGTGAATAAAAGTTTCCCGGTCAGAAAAACGTTTAACTTAATAAGAAAATGGACGAAATAAGAAATCCCGACAAATCAAGCTGATCGCATGAGAGCGTAAGTCAAAAATATACCAAAGTTCCCATCAACTGAAATAATCAATTATCATTTTATCAATTTCTGTTAAACTAGAAATGACAAAGCAACATGTTACATTGAACACTCACATTGATTATTACTTTTTTTATCGCACCAGGAACTCCAACATAGATTGACTGTGAAAATGGTACTTGATAGTCGAAATCGAAGTCGACCCCTTGAACTTCAAAAAGAAAGTCCATTCCTGAATAATTTAATCAAATATTAGAAAAAAAAAATCCATTGAAAATTTAAATACACAAAACTTACCATCACTGATTTGTTCTGTCACTAAGTACAGATCGAATTTCTCGGATTGGGTTGCTACCAGATCGACATCTATTAATGAGCCCAAACCTTAATTCGATGATATGTATTATATAATACAGTAGTAATACAATACATTATAAAAGCGAATTTTACTTTTATAATGCACTATGCATATACTTTCCTTGATTCCACTGAAAATAAATAAAATAAATAAATAAATAATATAAAATAAAGTAGGAAAAAAATAAAAAAGAATAAATAAATAAAACCAGAAAAGTCGATCGTATGAAAGAAGTTGTAATTGCTCACCTCAGCTAGGTGTAAAACAAGATCAGCCATATCATAAACATTGATGCCAGCATTTTGAATTGCCAGGTTAAGTGCGTACTGCGCAGATGACAATGGAGTTTTACTCAGTATTTCGGAATTTGCCAAAATCCCGTGTATGGGTGTCCTAATTTCTATGGTTATTTAAGGCAACAAACAACATGAGTAATCATATTCCTTCAAGCAAGTTTTTGGCGCGTGTCATTCTTCGCTCACGAGTTACCGTGACTAATTGTTTGCAAGAATGTTTTTCTCGTCTGATTATCTACATCATTCTAACAAATTTGTACGTTCTATCCATTAGAAGTGCATTTAGTGTAGAAGAATGAAAAATGGAGCAATAGCAAATACTTTACCATTTTGAGTGCTGATAAGATGTCCCGTTCCCCGGAAAAAGCGGCAGATATAGAAAACATTAAGATGGATATAATCAGAGAAATGCATTGCAATTTCGGCGTCTCTTCATCTGGTATTGTCGTCCTAGGCCTGTTCTTGATCGCATGAGTCAAAGAATTCTTTTGCAACCATAATTGCTTGGACCAATATCAAGTAATTCATTACCAAAAAGCTTCAATCACACAAAGAAGAAGCATGAGTACAGCAGTAGCCCTTGCGAATTCACATCCCAACAAGATGTAGCTACAATTCAGGCAAGGTATTTATATGAGTGATTATCGACTTTCAGCTAAAAAGCGGAATAAGAAGAGACCTCAACCTCCGACATTGAAATCTTTAAGAAGTTTTATGAAATGGAAAATGTTGTGTCAACATCAGAAAACACGATATTTAGAAGCAATATCATTTTTGTTCTTGTTTTTATCGATACGTCGCGAACCCATGACTTGTAAATAAAATATTGTTCTCGCGCAAAAAATGTTGTCGAGACACGGTTGACACATAAGCTAAAGACATTGACTAAAAATTAAATGATGTGACAAACATTCTTAAGGTTTTGGGAGTGTTACACATATAGTAAACCATACTTGCAAAGACACTAGCCAACGCGACAAATAAGATCAGGGGTTCTCCGATAACATATAGGCACGACGAAAGCGATATACAGAACCATTGTAGTTATTAACACATACATTTTAAACTCTTCATGATATGAGAGTGTTTCTCTGGCTTCTTTTTCTCTTCTGTGCGGTCGGCTCTCAGAGACGTCGATCATTCTGATACAATTTTTTTTTTTAAAAAAATGAAGTGAGCATTCTTTGAGAAATACTTTATATTAAATTTATTAGACTATTAGCACTATATTTGTTTTAATTGCCGATCCATCCCATTCTATTGATAACTGCTACTGGAGAAAACCTGTGGTATTGGAATTTTCCGCATGTTGCTTAAAATAATAAAATAATAAAATACACTACACGCCGTTCTCGTAATTAATTATCCTGGGGAGGAATTTTTCAACATATAAACAGCTTATTTGTTTTGTCATAATGGCATTTTTTATATCGACATTTGTAGTTTATCATTCAAATAATATTATTATTTCAATTCCAATGATATCAAATGATACCACCATTTTATTACACCATTTATGCCATGCTTAAGAAACTTTTAATTCCATTGCATTCTCCAATTCGAATTAGGATTTAGGATTTAGGATTCTTCTAATTCATTGAATTATTATTACTTTTTTGCTTAATCTTATTGATTTCAGAATTTTTTACCATTTTTTTTTTGTTGTTTGTGTTGTGCTAATGTTGCAATATTAGTGTGATGGCAATATTGATAAAAACCAATATAAATTTTTTTATTGCATTCTTCATAATTAATACAATATGTAAAAATAAATTTAAAAATATGAAAACATAATTAAAATAAAAATAATTGCAATCACAACAATTTATGTTTTGTTACGATATAACCATTATCGCAACAATCTAACCATATCGCAACGATCTAACGATAATAACATAATAATTCAAAAAAAAAAAAAAAATCCTTGTAATTAATTGATAAATTAATAATTAACAATTCCTATTTTTTAATGTATAAATAATATAATTTTTATGTACAGCCAACATGTTTTTATTTACTGTATTTAATTAAAAAAAAAAAAATTCCTGAATTAAAAACACGATAATCGATGATAATTATTACTGTAAAAACACGATTATTAAAAATAATTAATCGATTTTAACGATAATTATTAAAAACACGATGATCGACGAGATTATTAAAAACACGATGATCGACGATGACTAACGATCGATAATTAGTAAAACACGATTATATAATAACAACATATTGTAACGATAATTGCTTTAGTGTTGTTAGATAGAAATGCTCGTCAAGCTACTTAAAAATTCTTAAATATACGCAATCATGTGTTTGACTGATCGTACAATACAGTAAAAACAATTTCTGGGTTCTTTCACAGCAACACCATGCTCAGAGTCTACATATTTTATATACTCCTAAGCATGATTTTCTGTGAAAAAAACCCATGTATAAATATTTTTATTTATTTTTATCATGTTCGATCTTTAATTATTATCGATAAAATTTTTTGGCATTCATGAAATACGTATTATCAGAATATAGTCATTGATCGTAATCGAAGAACACGTTACCATTTCAGTTGAGTTGTCGAAAAGATCAAAAAGATATTAAAGCACAAGGTCATTCATTATATAAAATATTTGTTCGGTCAGTTAACCATTTTATTATTATTTAATTTGAACTTATACGTATGTCCATCGACCACGAGTATCCGCGTGAAAAAGATCTGAATCCGAGATACGAAGTATAATTAATTATTCTTAAAGCAATCGAGATTCCGTATACTGTAATAACAATGTCAAAAAAAGATGAACCATATTATTTGTTCTAATTATTCTAAGAAAATACAGACCATCTTGTTTTTTATGTCATAAATATATGTGAAAAAGAAAATAAATAATCGATTCAGCACGTTCATTTGGCGTAGTACCTACCTACACAGATATGCTTGTGAGAACAAATGTATAAATGTAAAATAGGACTGTAACACGTGTAGTTTTCTTGGAAAGATCAAAATAACTTAAAGAATGCAAACTCGGATTTAATAAATTATACGAAATTATAACCAATGATACATATAATCTACATATGAATATTCTCCGACGGAGTCAAAGCTTTAGCCAGCACAACTTCAATGATTCTATCTCCCACCAACCAATTCAATGTTGAGGCCATCCGAGCATCAAAGCCCACATAATAAGTATTCTTTGGATATTGAGCACTCAATGCGTGTACAATAGCATCAGTCACAACATCCGGTGGAGAACCTTTGAAGAGGGAATTCGTGCACCATTTGCCCACCATCCGATACATGTTCTCATAGGATCCAATTACACTGGAGGTGATGCTGTGACGAAGATCGTGGTAAGATGAATTTGAGGGAAAGGATGTGAAATTACGATAGTTTTCTACCGCCCGTTCGGTTAGAGGAGTCTTGATGATTCCTGAATTGTGAAGCCAAGGGATGAAGAAAACATGTTAGAAAAGAGAACGTCGCACAAGCAACTTGTCATGATTGTCTTTTTGTTAAATAGGATTCTTTTCTTGCCTGGTTCAATTAGAGAAAAATGCACGCCATTCGGTCTCGATTCCAACCTCCAAGCCCTTGTCATCGTCCTTAATGCGGCCTTTGTGGAATCATATACACCCATTGACGGCAATGTTTCCCAAGCCCCAACACTTCCAATGTTAATGACTCGTCCACGACTCTCTCTCAACAATGGTAAAAATTTTTTTGTTAGGTTGATGACTCCGAAAAAATTGGTGCTGAAACTATCCATCAAAAATTCCTCGGATGCTATCTCGAGGGGCAAGTGCATAGCTAACGCGGCATTGTTTATCAAGCCCACGAACGGGATTTCTCGCCCAATTTTTTCCCTCACGATTTTGTGGGCATCTTGAATGTCTTGTTTTTTGGTGACATCCATAAGGATAGGAATCAGGCTGCCTTGTTTGGAATTTTCATATCCCTTGAAGATTTCTTTCAATTCATTGGCATCATCCTCCTTGCGAACGGTTGCGAACACGGTGTATCCACGATTGGCCAATTCGAGAGCGGTATTACGACCGATGCCACTGGAGGTACCGGTTATGAGTACAGCTGGATGGTAGGTCTCGGTGGGTGTGTGAACTTGAAGTGGTTCTTGATGTAGGAATTTAAGGAATAGAATGCTCAAGAAAGCATTGTAAACGTAACTGATGTAGTCCATCAGCAAACTCATATGAATCAACACATCGTCGAATAAATCACTGGTCGACATTTTTCCTATATTTCGCTGACGTTCAAAAAAAAAAACAAAAATTTGAAGGACAAGTTACGGGATATGCACCTTTGATATACGGCAAATAGGAATCTTCCCAGGCGTGTGAAATTGGGTTGATTACACGTGAATGGCTGAGGCGATCCTTAATTATACATTTGGTGGATATATCACAGGAGAAACACTCATTAATTAAATGCTACCAATAAATTAGGAAAATTAAATTTGAGAGAATGACAATGTCAATCGCGTCAATCTTTGATGTTTACTTTATTTTGAAAGCTCACTTCTTCGCTGGCATGTTGTGTATATTAACTTGAGAAACAAATTAAGAACATTAAAAAATGACATGGATTCCTGTATCCCTAATCACATATTATTTTCCGTATACGGTATATACAGTATTTATCTTTTACTCGACTCATAGTATATATGTAATAATATACTGTATTTTTATAGGTAATTATATGATACTGAAAAATAAATAATTGAAAAAAAATTTTTTTTTTTTTCGTTCACCCCTGATCATGCTGTTTGTATGTATCACGTTCTAATTATCATATACTTTATAAGATTCTTGCAATATGAAGTATGCAACATCACGATCCGTCCAGTAGTTAAGATGTACGGTTATCGCTGAGATGTAACCTACTTCAATTACTCCTTCCTGTGGAACAAACATATTTTTATTAATAAAAGGGCTAAAATAATGCGGATTCTAACCTAACTCACCTGAAGGCAATAATCAATCCGTCCACTCTTATTCAAACTCCGTAGCTTCTCCTCGCCGACGATACTGTAGTCCAAGGCGCCATCATCCAACAATACTGGCGATGAAGACATATGTGTTTGATAGAATTTTTCTCTCGCCTCTGCTGTTAGTCCGATCACGCTTCCGTTTACATCTCTATACATTTCACCAGCATAAACACTTCCTCTTTCGCTGTCCACCACCGTACCATCCAGAGAATCACGTTGCGAATCGTTGTCATTCATAGTCAATATATCAGGTGACGAATGTACATTATGTAGATGCGTTTTTCCAAAATGTCCGTTCCGCGAATTCTTCACATCTGCCAATGAAACATTGTTCAACTCACCGGATAAATCGGTTATATCCGACAACATGTTATCCGATAAATTTGGAGAGGATTGACTAAAGTGTTGTAACCGTTTGATTTGTTGCTGTCTTAACAGATTTTGTTGTTTGAGCTTTTTTTGTTTATCAGTTTGAGTTGCTGATGCGGCTTCCAATTTTCTGAAAGTTAGTGTGGCAACGATGGAATTGAAGACAGTAGTCGTTTTACGGGAGATATTTGAACCGAATTCTTGAATGCCTAGTTGTACGGCTTTCAATCCGCCTTTATGGTAAGGGACAAGCGCCGGTTTCACGGACGCGCCATAGTGACGGGCTATTAGTGGTTCTATTTACATTAAATTGTTGAGTGATGAATAAATGAAACACGTGAGGTGTTATGATTTCGGATCGAATCATCCATGATTTCCTTTAAAATATTGAGACATCTCTTACCTAATCGATAAGCAATTGGATCTGTGGTTTTTGTTAAAATTACACAAAAGTATCAACAAAAATCCATGTCTTCCTCGAAGAGAAAAAATTTCAAACATAAAACTTACCAGATTTATGAAATACGTTATAAATGTTTTTCACGGCTGGATGACAGTGTGGTATCAAACCTACTTGGTTATTCAACATTGACCGTTGTTCCCATTGTTCAAATTCTGATCGGGAATTCTTTCTTCCAGACATTCCATCGTTACCTTTTTCTTCAGGGTTGTCCAGACTAACATCTTCCCAATTCCTCGACTCACTAATTTTATTTATTTCATGATAATAATTTCGGGATCCAATCTTTGTTCCCTTCAACAACAAGAATAATCCAATCGGTGATCCGACAGTATACAAATCTTCCACTTCAAAATCAAGTTTATACTTCGTTTGCTGTTGCATTTGGTGTTGACGCTTAAGATCTCCGTTTCGGTGGTTACGATTCGCATGTCGGTGACTAGAATGGACTCCCGCTTCTTTGAAATGATGCGAATGAGGTCGTTCGACATCAATAGAAAAGTTGGACTGTTCCGGCTCATCGAATAGGTGGTTCTGATGATTTAGTACAATACTACTACTTGATCGGTGCTTCTCATTCCGTTCGTTCGATCGTCCGATGCTGTTTCCACCATCACGAGTGTTGTGTACTCCGTTACCATTACCCAATCCTGTCTCAGAAGAGACATTCAGGTTGTAAAATTCCCCAGAAGAAATTCTCGAGTGATGTCCATGACTAATGTATGTGTCGTAGGAATCATTTCGACTGCAGTCTACATTGCCGTTCGAATCGTTAAAAGGAGAAATCGTAAAAGGTTGATGGCAGAGGACATCAAATGCCAACACCGAACCAAGGGAGTGACCGTAGATGGATACTTTTCCACCATGTTTTATGAATTTCGGATTTCGGTCAATGAACAGGTGATATACTCTATTCATTTCTCGTACAACATTTGAGATCATCATATCCCTGAATTTTGGCGTCATGTACAATAGGACTAATGTTTTTTTTGAAAAGCGTAAGCAGAGGTCTAAAAATGATGATTGATGCATAGGCGCGTAATGTTATAACAAGCTGCATTTAACACACCGTCCACCAGCGCGTCAGAGACCAACATTCTCAAATTTGGTACACCGTCCAATGTAACTTCGTCCAGAGTAGGTTGACCTTCTTCGCTTAAGGTTGAACTCAAGTGACGTTTGACATTATTATCCTCCGACGCCATGCCAAACTTTTGGCAAGTAAAAACGGCGTGAGTTATCATTTATTTGCGTATGATGAGAAATCCCACAACTCATAGCTACCTTAATATCTTGTCTCCAGTGGATGGGTAATACCTGAATGCCGTTTCCCATCTGACTTCCCTTTGTAAATTTATTGCGTCCATAATTAGGATTTAACTTACGATTGCCCTTTCTTGACGCGGCTTCGGGTGGTGGATTTGTAGCGTAAGTATCTTTTATAGTTCGGCGTAGAAGGTTTACCTCTGAATAAGCGTTTTGCATTATGATTGTAGTTATTATTTGAGATTATCTGCTGTCTATAGCGTATTCGCAAATATGAAGTTTGTGAACTGTCTATATACCATGAACGAAACTTGGGTATCCAGTTCGCTCGCTTAACTTTTGTCCAATTCTAATTGATTGGTGAAGATTAAGATTGTGTCAGCGCAAAAACTCGAGGTGTTCGTATCTCCCGTCCTTGTTCTTTCATAGAAACTCACCCGTGTACGCAAAATATCAAATGATCAATTTCCCGTTCAGGCCCCTCCGAATCCTCATAGTCTTCGGTTTCCTCCTTTTGTTGATTCAACCTTTTGATTTTTTCCTCTTCTTCAACGTCTGTTGCTGATCCTTTATCACCGTCCGCTTTGCTCGAGGTGGTTTTTTCAGGTTTCTTCACGGGTGGAGGTGGTTTTTTCGATAGATAATTCTCTACCTCGTGATATCCTCTGATCAATAGGATACCACCACGATTTTCACCTCTGGTAAATACAGAGAATAGTGTTTTTGCGACGTTTCCCGTTATGTCGTCTCTTTATTATAATAAGAATAGGAATAATCAATATCATCACTTTTATATAAGATGACAGTTTTGTAAAAA